TATATATATGTGTGTATATATATATGTATATATATGTGTGTATATATATATGTATATATATGTGTGTATATATATATTTGATAACCTCCACATGCAATGTTAGCCCAGCAAATTAAGTTTGACAGTGCTCAAGCTACAGTAGTAGCTCAACCAGACCCACTTCCTGCGTGATATCCACTGGTAAGAGCTCACCTGGTGCTGACCTGTAGTCTGCTTGATGATAATAAGGAAGTGTGGAGACGTATGACATACTCATAATACCAGCAGGTGGGGAAATGAGACAGAACGTCTGTATCACTCAAACATGGCTGTGTGTGTGTTTTTGTCTAAAAATGACCTGTAAGGAGCAGCTTGCCCAGACTAAGACCCACAACACCCAGAGCTGGTCTCAGCTATAGGGGGCATCCTCGGCATCTCAGGACATCCACTCAGCCCAGTGAGGTGCCGTAAGGTGTTCTGTTACAAGCACACGGCTCGTTCGGATCCTCTGGACAATCCAAACGGGTCCTAATGACCTCTTCACTCCCTCCTGGGCACCCCTCGGGTGCTAACCTCCTGCTCCGATAGCTGAAATGGCTCCTTTTATGTCTCAGGGCCTCCGATCTGTATTTTTGCGGTATATCAGCATTACCCTGTGCCTGTGCAGATCTGGTGAAGCCAGTTGCTGCAGTCGGGACGTCTGCGGCAACTGATGACGTCTCATATGACGCAGGCCCACGTTTGACCCCTGACACGGTGAGCTGAGGCCTCGAGCACTGGGCACGATTTTTCGAGCAAAATCTTAATATTGCCGGGCTTTAGCGATGGTCCTCGAAGGAATCGACCTTGTTGACTTATTTAGGGTGCGCCATTTGGATCCTTTAATCTTGAACTCAGACCATTAACGACTGAAGCAATATTCAGTCTGATTGTAAGAACAATTAGGTCCTCAAACACGCAGTGTGGGTGCTGTACCTTTTAAGAAAAAATATATATACTGGAAGAGATTTACTTACTAAAAAGATCAAGTATAGATATAATTATTTTTCAAAAGAGATGTATTGAAATATGTCTCAGAAATGTGAGACATTTATTAGATGATGCTGCGTAAAGTGGCTTATTTAAAACTAAACTCGGATGCAACTGTCCAGGGGTGATATTTCATACCTGCTGTGTTTCCTAACACTTCTTTTATTCCTTAGAGGAAATTAAGAAGAGTACAACAAATTGATAACAAAAGTATGTTATAGCAATTTCTAGAAACTTCATTGAAGTAGTTTGTCAGCAAACACTCAGCACTCCAGTTCACTTTACATAGCAGCACCGAGTTGTCCCCTCGTTTCACTCCTCCATGTGTTTTGTCACATGGCTTTCCATCAGTTGCCATACGACGCAAAACAGAAACACCTGCAATCATCCACATTTTGTCTTTTAGTGCTCCTTTTAAACAAATATGCTACTTTTTTTTTGTTTTTGCATGCATGCTCTTACGCGGAGCTGCCTTGTGTTCTTTTCTTTTGCGTATTCTGAGTGCTGTATGATGGTATTTATCCATTTTTGAGAGCGATTTTATTTCTTGCAATGGGAAAAAAGTTTTAACGTTTACTTCCTCATGCCTAATAAAAAAAATAAGAAAAAGAGCCGCAGAGTTCCCGTGCTTTGGGAAAATGTCACTTTCATTGTCCCACTTCCTTTGGTGTGTAAACCTCTCGTTGAGTTTGACTTTACCCACTTCAACACAGCAGAGAAATGCCATATGAAAAAGATAAACACATGGGAGCAATAGTTTCTTTTTTTCTTTTATAGTCATATAAATATACTATATATATATATATATAATATTAAAACATGAGATTGAGCTACATCCTTCTTCCTGTACTGTGTTACGTGAAATGGCAGCTGTTTCAGTCAATGTGTGTTCTGCTGTAATCTACCAAGTTCCTTTCAACGAGAAATAAAAAAGGTTTTTGCTCAGGAGCGGTGTGGTCTTTTTATCCTCCCACTCCAGGCTGGAGGTCCTTGTATCTTCACAGGCTGAGTGCAACAAAGGTGATGTGACTTCTCTTGATATGTTTACAGTTCACTTTAATTATTTATGATCCAGCAGGTCATTTTCTCAACTAATAGACACATTATTATGTCCATCAAATGAAAAAGAAGAGAAAAGTCACAAAGTTCAAGGAGACAACTTTTGAACTTTTTTTTGACCAACTGTCCAAAACACAAATATATATATATATATATAACTTACAATTACGACAGTAAGAAAACCCAGCAAATATCCACATTATAAGAAGCAGAAAACTTACATTTTGTGTGTCAATGTAAAAGTTAAAAAAGTACAATATTTCACTTTGTAACTTCAGTAGAAGTAACATAAAATACGAGTAGAGTAAATGTACTACTGTACTATCTACTTTCCAATTCCAATGCTAACTTTTTTCCAGAGCTTTCAACCATATGAGTTCATGCTTTCTCTGCAAAACTTTCTTTTCAAACTTTGACATATTTTGCAAAGACAGTTTACACCAGCACATTGTTTTCAGTGCTCTTCACAGCACTGACTTTAAAAGGGAAAGAATGACGGACAAGCGTATCTCCAGCAGAGTGTGTCACTGAGAACAAAGAAGTTGACATAAAACAGACAGCGTGTAAAACTCACGTCTGTCTGTTGGAGTGACAGGTAACAGCTGGTGATATCCTCCTCTCTGGTTGGAGGCGTGTCAGTGAAATCACTTGCTGTAATCTGATTTTTGTTGGTATTTTTGTACGTTTTGCTGATGCAATTTCTTAGTATTCTGCAGAGGTATATGAATGTCTGCTTATGTTTCAGATACTGACGGTGGTGGAAGAAGCGGAGATGTTCGTTTCTGAAGGGAAAGTCTTAATAACAATGTTAAAGTAGTGCATCACAAGTGCATACAATTCATCAGCAAATTGTACTTTAAGTTATAAAAAGTAACTCATAATGCAAAATGGCCCCATTTAGAGTTACATTTATCATATATACACATTACTGATTCACTGTTGGGTAGTTTAATCTACAACAATGTTGATCATATGTGTTTCATATACAAAGCAACAGTGGCAAGCCAGATCTATCAGATCAGTGCAGTGGAGTTGGGTAAAGTGTACAATACCTCCCTCTGTGGAGTAGGAAGTACCATCAAATGGAAATACTCAAGTAAAGTACCTCAAAACTGTTCTAAAATAAATGTACTTAGTCGCACTAGAAGAAGACGATACAGATGCAGTGTGCAGTTTGGTTCAGGTTCAGGTATTTGATATGATGATGTCTGAGAAAGCAAACTTTAACTACAGGGCGCTTTTCAAAACAAAAGCTCAAAAGTGCTCAACTAGAAGAAATAAAAGGGTAAAGAGGGAGAAATAAGCGACAGTGCATAAGTATTACCAGCTAAATGTATACACTTACTAGCTGCAACATTAAAGTGATGAACACATTAAAAAAATTATAATTAATAATATACGTTATGATAGCTGAAAATGGGCCATCCCTCATAATGGGTACTTTAACTTTTGGTACTTTAAGTATATTTTGAATGCTTGTAACAGAGTATTTCTACACTGTGGTATTTCTACTTTTGCAAAAGTAAAAGATCAGAATACTTCTTCCACCACTGACCCAATATGAAGTACATACCGCTCCACCCGGCCCACAGTCCAACAGGCCTTTGTCTTAGTTTGAAGTGGAGTCACAGGGCTGACTAGAGGTCGCTGTATCCTCTGAGGTTTGCCTGAAGCCTAAAAATACCTCGTCGTGTACAGGCCTGTGGTGCAGGTCAACAGGGCGACATGTGAAAGGCCAGACGGGGTGCGTTCCAGTGTACCGTTTTATCTTGGAGGAACTGAAAGTCCCGGGCATGCAGCATAGACTAGCTCTAGGGACGTGGAACGTCACCTCGCTAGCGGGGAAAGAGCCGGAGCTGGTGCAGGAGGTGGAGCGATACCAGCTAGAAATAGTTGGACTCACCTCCACACACAGCGTTGGCTCTGGAACCAAGCTCCTGGAGAGGGGTTGGACTTTGTCCTTTTCCGGAGTTGCCCAGGGTGAGAGGCGCCAGGCGGGAGTGGGGATACTCTCGAGCCCCCGGCTGAGCGCCGCTGTGTTGGAGTTCTCCCCGGAGAGCGAGAGGGTCGCCTCCATGCGCCTACGGGTTGCGGGGAGCAAGGCTCTGACTGTGGTTTGTGCTTATGCACCAAACAGCAGTTCGGAGTATCCGGCCTGGTCCCCTCCCACCTGGTCGGTGGGAGGGGTCCTGGAAAGGGCGCCGCCTACCGACTCCATAGT